GGGGCATGTGGGGGCGAGCGAGCAGCGCCGCACGTCGCCCCCCTCCCCCCGCACCTGTGACGGGGGCGGCCCCGGGGGAGGCGGCCAAGCCCCGCCCCTCGCCCTGCGGTTGGCCCGGCGGGCGGCCCATGCTAATGAGCCGGGCGCCTTATGGCACCTGCCGGCGGGGTCCCGGCCAGAGCCGCCGCCGCCCGGCCATGCCGCGCTCCTTCCTGGTGAAGAAACCCTCCAGCACCCGCGTCCCCAACTACGGGCAGCTGGAGACGCGGCGGCGGCAAGGTGAGGGGCCGGGGCCGGGCACCCAGGGGACCCCCCGGCTCGGGGACCCCTCGGGGGTGCGGGTCCTGCCGGGCTCACCCTGCTGCCGGGCTGTGACTCCCCTGCGCCCTGGGGCTCCGGGCTTCCTGCGGGCGCTGTCCCGGGGCGCGGGCTCCCGGTGCCGGCAGATGCCTCGCAGCCTGCCCCCAGCGCCCTGCCGGCAGGGCACAGCCCCGGGCCGGGGTCTCCCCACCCCATGGCTTCCCGGGCGCTGGGGCTGACGGCCCGGCTCTGCCCCTGGCGCTGGGGGGCCCAGGGACCAGGTGTCGGCTCCCCCCTGCCCCGCACAGGGCAGCGCGGCGCCCGCTTGGGGCGGCGGGGCGTAGCTTGGCCCGGCCCTGGCGGCTGGCTCCGGCCCCGCAGTGGTTGCGGCTGCAAAGTAACCCCGCTTCCTTCTGCAGGGGGGTCTTGGGGCCCCGTCGCCGGGGGAGCCGCGGAGAGCGGCTCCCAGTGGGCCCGCACAGAGAGAAGCGCAGCGGGCAGCACTTCTCTTGCAAACCGGGCTGGGGGGCGGGGGTGGCCGAGTTCCTGGAGAGCAGGGCGGGCAGGTGGTGGGGGGGGGACTCGGGGGGCAGGCAGTGCCGCCTGGCTTGTCACTGCTGGGGCACTGCTATGACACCCCTAATGGGGGGGCTTCAGGCAGGGGGACCCTAATCCAGCTCCATCCTTAGACCCTCTGCTGTCATCTCAGCCGAGTCCAGCAGGAGGGGGGCGGGAGTATTTCCAATAGGCTACTCGGCCCCGGAGCGGGGGGGTGTCAGAAATCTCCCCAGGATGGAGGCACCAGGGCTGACACTGGGCATGTTGTGATTAACTTCCCTCTTGGACCTCCTGGAAGGTCCCGCGCACTCCACTGAGCACCGTGGCGGGCCCGATTCACCCGTAGATAGATGGCCTGGCCCGTCCCCCCAGCACGGGCCCCTAGGCTGGGGCAGAATGCCACCAGGTGGGAGCCTTCGCCACTGCTCAAGCCAGCTCCGTTCCCGGGGCCAGGACCTAGGAGACTGCGGCAGCGGCAACAGGAAAGGTGGCCTGTTTCCATCAGGTAGAACAAGGCTCTGACTGTCTGCACTGACCCCCCATCCCTAGAAAAGGGGAATGGGGGGGGGGTTAGATGGGTGGAAGTGGGAGCTAGCAGAGAGTGCTGGGGCCAGCCCAACATCCCGGACCCCAGACTGCCCCGTTAGCAACCCCTGCCCCAAACCGTTGCCCAGTTTCTCTCCACGCAGTCTGAGCAAAACAAACCCACAGGGGGTGGGGGAGTTGGAGTGACCTGGTGCAGGGGCTGGTGTGTGCAGTGTGTAGGCGGAGAGGACTTTGGTTAATGGACACAAGCGAACTGGCCTTCAGCTCTCGTCTGCCTTGCTGTTCTCACTGGTGCCCAGCTCCTGGCTAGGCGTGCACGCAGGGCACGGGGGTGGGAGCTAATAGGCAACATCACGGTTTCGTGTTCACCTGCCTCTTGCTTCTCCCCAGAAATCAATGGCGCGTGCCACTCCTGCGGGGGGCTGGTCTTCCCCATCCTCATCCCGAATGACAGCGCCCCTTCCACGCCCTGGGACGGCAGCTCCATCCTCGCCCGCTTCTCCTTGCCTCTCCCACTGGATGGTGATACCAAAAGGACTCCCAGCACAAGCCCCCACAACCTGGAGATCAGCCTGGTGGACACGTTAACGGGCCGAGCCCCGGGCACCCCTCTCAAAGACAACCAGAACAATCTCAACCTGCCATCTGTCCTCAGCCTGCCCCCAAGGAGGCCATCCAACCCGGGGAGCCCAGCAGAGGGGGACAGGGGAGCCCAGGACAAACTGCAAGGGGCACGGGGCAGGGCAGCTGAGCCCTTGGAGAGATTTGAGTGCTTTGACTGCCACAAGTCCTACCACACCTTCTCCGGGCTGGCCAAACACCGCCAACAGCGCTGCGTGCTGCAGGCCAGGAAGTATTTCAACTGCAAGTACTGTGACAAGGAGTACGGGAGCCTGGGGGCGCTCAAGATGCACATCCGCACCCACACGCTGCCCTGCGTCTGCAAGATCTGCGGCAAAGCCTTCTCCAGGCCTTGGCTGCTCCAGGGACATATCCGAACGCACACAGGTGGGCTGCAGCGCCGGGGCTGCCCAGGGAGGGAAGTGCCTTTCATGTGCTTACCAGGCTCCGCTTGGCCAGTCATTTTGCACAGCTGCCGGCGCAAGCAGGTTGAGGTGGCTTGCAGACGCGTAGCGGGCAGTAGCGGAGGGCGGGCTGGGAGAAAATGGCTAATCTACTGGTGGATCCGCCTTTTAATTTGGCACTCACAAAACAGCCTGCCAGGCCCAGTTCGGTTCAAAATGCTTGTATTTTGTACAGAGATTTTTTGCAGACCCCAAGAGTAAAAGGGCACTGTCTGCTTACAGATCAAACGCTGCAGACCAACATCTCTACCTGGGACACTAATACACTGTGTTTGTATCCCAGTAGCACCTAAAGGCTCAATTTAGATCAGGGTGAGCCTTTGGCGTTAGGTGCTGTACAGATACCAGGATACCGCGGTCCCTGCCTTGAGGAGTTTACAGGCCAAGGGCTTCTCTTAGTACACCTGAGCTCCTCTCACTGCTCGCTCCAGGGACCACAGTTGGTAGTTGCTGTAATCTGAGCGGCTGCATCCCCACTGGAGCTTCAACTCCCCCTTGGTGGTGGCCCAGCTTGGTGGAGTTTAAAGTGTGGATGGGATTCAGGGTAGGGGCAACCTTTGAGTTCAAGCTCCAGCCCACAGTGCAAAGGAGACCAGCCCTAAGACATCCTGCACAGACGTTACCTTTATGCACACAAATAGTCCCATTGGCTTCAATGGCTCTGCTGCATGCAGGAAATTTAACAAGTGCATAAATCATGCCAGGATCTTTCTCCGAAGAAGAATCTAACCCCTTAGAGTAGACCTTCAGTATCCCATTTGCTTGGCCCTGTTTTGCTCTTTGTTTGCCCTTTGCATTTCTATTTGTTTGGATAATGCAAACTCAATGAACTTAGTTTTCCCCCTGTGAGTTTCAATTTCAGACTCTTGGTGCTGTAATGTCTGGGTTACAGACACTGCAGATGAATGTTTAAAAACAATTGTTTTCATGGGAATGAATTTTTTTTAAGTATGGAAATCTTGCTCTGCTGGGCTTAGGTTTCATAAAAGCTGATTTTAGCAAAACTAATATTTTTGTCACCATTTAACTTGATTGTCCCTCTTTAGTAGAATTTTTTGCAGTATTTCCTACCTATTCCCTTAGAAATCGGATAACTCAGGTCAAATTGACTAGCAACGAAGTAACCAAAAATCAGACTGACTAGTCTTGTTCCGTTATGCCAGATGAGAACAACATCCAGAGCAAATGCAATTAGTGAGAAGTAAATGAACTAAAAGAGAATTCTTCCAGTTTTAATAATCTTAGGTATTACAGATCAGGGGAAGGGAGGGGAAATTCCACTATTCTTTTAAAAAGATGTTCTCTAATCCATCCAGATTAGGCCTAATTCTATTTACTCATGGTGTGTTTATTGTAAGATTGTGGTGGTGCCTTTACAGTCTTGGTTTGCCCCCTCTTGGCTCACTTCCTATGGCCTTGGGCATGTTGCCTCTTTGTGCCTCAGTTTCCCCATTGTGAAACATGAGTAATACTTCCCTATCTCCAGGTGGGTTGTGAGGATTAGTTAGTGCTGATAAAGTGCTTTGGAGATTTAAGTGCTGTCAGCAAAGAGAGTGGCAGAGGAGCATTGGTCTAGTACATTTCTTCTGCCTAAACAATCTCTTGCTAGGCTTGCTGTTGTGGGAAAGTTCCTCTTGTAATAGGATGTGCTCGTGCCATGTGGGCTGAAAAATCCAGTTACAAAGCTGGTTGTTCCGAAGTGGGAGACTTGTGATTTCCTCCCCCACTCCCTGCACGCCGAAAATAGAGGGGGTAAACAGGAAACAAAATACAAGTGCCTGATGCACATATCCTCCTCCATATCCCATGCACGAACCTAGCCCAGAGCTGAGCACGGCAAAGTGCTCCTGCAGAGGATGCGCGATAACCTGATGTTTGTCTCGCCGCATTTCTCAGTTGCAAACATCCAAGAGAGGCGGGGGGAGAGCTGGAGGCTGACTCACCAGTGTCCCTTTAAGCAGACAGCAGATCGGACGTGAGTTGGCAACATGATCCGGTTGCAAAGAAAAGGCTAACGTGACTCTTGGGCTCCGGAGCAGGGCCAGTCCTGGTTCCTTTGTACAGGGCTCTGGGCACAGCACCTGGAATATTGTCCCTGGTTCTGGGCACCAGGATCACAGGAAGATATGGACAAATTGCAGGGAGTTCTGAGAAGGGTGACCGATCTGCGGTCTGGCAGGATTGATTTACAAGGAAAGACTGAAAAAGCTGCATGCATCTAGCTTGGCTAAGCAGAGCAGAGGGAGTGAGGGGCTACTCAGTGTGGTATATAGAGGGATAACAAAGGGTGGTAGTGGAGTGGATTAGGCTGAAGCAGGGAAAACCTGGCAGTGAGCTGCCTTGGGCTGTGCCATATTCTCCCCAGGAGAGTGTTGTAAGCCCCATGGCTGGCAAATGGTGCTGGGAGGGGAATGATCTGGGCCTGGCCCTGGGGAGAGAAAAGCCCCATCAGACTCTATCTCCAACTTCTATGATTGGACAGGGAGTCCTTCCATTGTGAATTTCAAGCCAAACAGTCTGGCCTGGGCCAGCTTCTGCAGCAGAGGCTGGGGGTGGCTGGGAAGAGTCACCGGGCTTGGCTTGGAGGGAACGCAAAATCCTGACTCACTGTGCTGTGTCCCACTCCTGCTGCTACTATATGCTCAGGTGAAGGGCTTCCAGCTGTGGAGTCCATGTTCCCTCTGCTCCCCCCGCGGTGGAGTGCTTCTGAAATTTACTTGTGCAGTCAGTTGCTGGAAATGAGATTGCAGGTCTCTTGGGCTGTCTGTCCACCTGGCTCCAGTCTCCTCTCTTTCTTCCTGCTGTACAGACCCCTTCTGCACAGCTGGGAAGCGGAGCGTTCCCCTGGTTACAACGTGCAGTGGGCCGGGCAGCCGCTGGGATGCTCGCAACGCTCCCTCCCTCCTGCTCCCTGGAAACCCCCTAACCCACCTGAGCGCCTAACAACCCATGGTGATTGCCTGCCATTTGGCCTGGCCACTGCACCCCGCTGATTCCAAGGGGGAGCCAGGATAGGACAGTTGTGTGGAACTTACTGCTATTTCTGGGACCCCAGGCTGCTTGGATCTCACAGGAGAACCGTACAAACCAGACCAGACGTGGGACTGGTCCCACTCCCTGACCCGGCCAAGCCAAGATTGTGCCCCAGTGTCTTGTCCAGTGGGAGCTGCTTGCATGGGGGTGGTTCTCTCTGACAGTGTTGCCTTTGCTCCCCCCCAGGAGAAAAGCCCTACAGCTGCTCGCACTGCAGCCGCGCCTTTGCCGACCGTTCCAACCTCCGTGCCCACCTGCAGACGCACTCGGACGTCAAGAAGTACCAGTGCCGGGGCTGCTCCAAGACCTTCTCCCGGATGTCTCTGCTCTCCCGGCACGAGGAGGCTGGCTGCTGCCCTGCATCCTGACACCCACTGCCCATGGCTGCACCAAGCAGTCAGAATGAGGAAACCCGCTGTAGGCCTGGGCATCTCCGTGGGAGCTTCCGGCATCCTGCCACGCTGTGGAGGGTGCGGGTGGACGTGTGCTAGCATGGGAGAAGGCTCCGGTTCCTGGTGATGGTGGAGAGCTATACCCATCTTCCAGCTTTGTGTCTTCAGCTGAATGGCACCAGCTCTGCAGAGGGTGGTGCTGGAGGCCTGGCAAACTCATTGCAGGAATGACTTGGTTCTTTCTCCATGCAGGCAATGTCCTTCCGTGTGCGCATGAGGAAGGGGAGTGGAGACTAGCTTTGAGCTCCTTGCATTGAGCTCTGGCTCTCTAGGGGTGAACCGGATCACCCCCAAGCTCCATGCATCCACTCTGCTCACTTGCCTGGAAGTATGTTTGTCTGCACCCGTTCAGCGGGACTGCCCGAACGGTGCTTCAAGCAGTGCCACGCCGGAGGAATAACCTCTCCTCATTTCTGCCTCTCTCCCATCCTTTGCATCCAAGAGTCTCCACCTCCCTCATTAGGGGCTGGGCCGTCAAATGCAACTCGCTGTCCTGTCACCAGCAGCCGGTGGGAGCTGTCCATTCCCCCCTGCTCTGTGGCTGCCAGTGTGGGATCTGTTGTCGCACATGGGCTCAGTTTGATTGCCTGGTGTCTAATAAAAAATGAAACCGAGAGCCTGCAAAGTGAACTTGTCTTATTGCCCAATGAGAGCACGGGGCCAGCGACTTCTCACTGCTTCCTGCTCCATCTTGGTGACGCGTCCTCCTAGTGCTTCTCCCCAGCCTCAGTACTTATCCAATTGGGTTATTTGTATTGCAGTAGTACCCAGAGCCCTAGCAAGGGCCAGGATCCCAGCATGCTAGGCGCTGTACAAACACAGAACAAAAAATGGTCCCTGCCCCCAAGGAGCTTACAGTCTTAAGTCTAAGACAAGGGGCAATGGAGGATAGAGACAGAGAAGAGAAGAAACAATGAGACACCATTGGTTGGCAGAAGTCTCCAGGGCTGTGCGTAGTCATAGCCGAGGGACTGCTTCTGTGCTGTTTGGCTTTCAGACACTCCCTTACCTCTCTCCCGGGCATCTGCTTCTCCCCGCTCCTGGCGCAGTTTCACCCGCCCTCACCACTTGGACACAGACGCGTCCTCCAGCCCCAAAACATACCCTGGGTCTTGCATTGTTAGCAGTTGCTGGAAGGACAGCTCCCAGGTCTGAAATCTCTGCTATTTGTCTAGGCTTTTTTCTTTTAAAGACCTTGTTTATGTAGGCCCTACTGCCAGTGTGTCATGCAACCCCTGCTGTTGCTTGACTGGCAGTTGTGCTGCATTCACAGCTATGCTCGGAGGTAGCCTCCCAACCACAGCCAACCTGGCACCCCACCTCTACCGTGATGAGGGAGGGGCTCACTCCCTTGTACCTCTTTCATGCCTATAGGGCCAGATTTCCAAGGGCTCGGTGCCCACAACCAGCCCCAGCTGTCCAAGCTGCTCCGCTCTTGTCGTGATGCTTTTATAGCCAGATCTGTCTGAACTTCTGCACCCAGAGCTGTCTTGAAAAACCTTCAATACTCTCTGATCTTTTCTTGGAAAGAAATCCTAAAGCCAGGAGTGCTGGAGAAGCCCCTCAAAGGGGCTGGGACTCTTACTTTTGTATCAATTTTCCTCTCTCTCCCTCTGACTTGAGCACATGAGCCCTTCCCTCGGGGAGGAGCGAGGGAATGATCAGGTGTAAATTCTTCAGCTAAACTCTCAGCATTCAGAGGGGCCGTCAGGGGTCAGCCATCCTGAGTATAATTTGTTACAAAAGTTTACCGACTGGGAGAGGGGGAATGGGTCCTAGGCAGGGAGGGATTTGCTGCAGCTCTGCACCAGGGATGGCACATGGAGTCTGAATGCATTATATTGTTTTGCCCTATTCAGTGTTATGTCTTCATCTCTTAATTTTTTAAACAGGAAGCAGAGGGCCTGGCCCTGAGGCCGCGTCCATGCGGGCAGTATAAATAGACGCAGGGGTGTTCGTTTTTGCTGATCACTGAATGTAACTTGAGCGGGCAGGGCTCTCAAATATCAGATTCCTGGCCCTGTTTTCTTTCCTCCCAAGCTGCATGTGTCCCTCTGCCCTGCCCCAAACAGCGGCCTGACACAGTTGCTGCTCACTCTCTGGGGCTGGATGAAGGCAGAGGCCCTATATTGCCACTCAGGGTCCCAGCTCCTGGTGTCAGGATTGCACCACAGTCTGTTTCATTTTTTAAAAAAGTCTCTCACCCTTGTGGTTGCAAAGAAAAGCTTGAAACTGGGGGTAATGAAAGCAGTGATGTCTGCCTGTGTCTGCAGAGAGCCTGAAACAATAGCTCCGAGAGCTGCTGACTGCCCTGGGCATCTCAGTGAGTGTTCACACCAAGTCCTGCTGCTCCAGCTCTACCCCAGCAGAGGACTCTCCATCTGGCAGCAGGCTCCGCCCACCCTCTAGCAGATACGTCTTGACTGTTGGGGTATGTACTGGGGTCCCCTGCTGTCCCTCTTGTCTCTCTGACGATGGGCAGGGGACCCCCTGCTGCTGCTTCTGTGGGGCAAGGGGGCCACGTGCTACTGCCCCGGTCTGTCTGGGAGCAAAGGGAGTGGTGACTCCTGCCGCGGCCACTCCAAGTGGGGGTAGGGCCGTGGGGCAGGGGCAGTGACGGGGTCTTACACTGTGTGCGTGGGGCCCGTGGCCCCAAGCACTTTGTGTCCTTCAGCTCCTCCTCGCATCCTGCTCAGTCAGGGCAGCATGACGCAGGGCTGTAGCCCTGTGGGATTTCTGGGGGGGCTGTGTGGAAGCTGCATGTGGGAATGCCCCCTCCCCTGCTGGGGTCTTCGAGATGAGCAGGCGTTTGGACTGGCTCTGGAAGTTACCTATCTACCCCTTGAGCAGGTCAGGGCAAGCTTCCCCCCTTCTCCCCAGGAGCTAGGGAGGGCGAATCTCTCTGTATCCCTGTTCCTAGCCTGTCTGCCTGCTCCTCCTCTTCCCTGGGGTAGCTGTAAGCTCTGCAGGGCAGGGACTCAGCTTGTGTTGGACACAGCTGAGCGTGCTGTCACTGCTGATCGCTGCTGGTTTCGGAGCCCTGTGCGGCTGGATAAACTTCCAGGCCCCTGGAGATCCTAGTCAGAAGTTCCCCCAAGCCAGTGGCTCATGGGGCTGATGCAGTTATGGCACGTCAGTTTCATAGCCAACGGCCCACAAGCGAGTCAGGTGGCCAGCATCACGTCCACCCACCTCTGCCTGCCCGTAACCCAAGGGATCAGGTCTCCATTTTGCAGCTGGGTGACCTGGCAGTGTGAGGTGGACAGCACCTTCAAGCTGCTGTGGGTGGATGATCTGAGCCAGGCAAGCCCCCAGTCCCCCCCAAGCACTGGGAAGAACAGGGGCCCGGGTTACGTTGTTTCAGCACAGACAGCTATGGGCTGGGCACTGCATACAATGTGCAGCAGAAGTCCCTGCCCCAAAGAGCATGCAGTGCCAGAGAGGTGTCTTCCCCCCGGCCCCGCGCACATCAGAGATCCCTAGCTGCGTGTGTGGCTAGATGAGACTTTGGCGCAGGGGGGGGGGAAGCTGTTTCTGTATTTTCTGCTGGTGGCAGAGAACAGGTTTGATACCTGCCCGGTGCCAGCTGCGGAGAACATTTAAAAGCTGAGTGGGCAGCTTGTCTCCAGGGGCCTGTTCTGTCGTACAGCCAGGGCCCGTGTGCTAGGCGCTGTACGGACTCTTCAAAGGGCAAACCCTGCCCCAAGGAGCCTATAAGCGCCATGCCAAAGGGAACTCAGGGCTGCGGGGAGGGGACGCGCTGCAGGCAGCAGTGAAACAGGCTCAGCTCAAGGCCGTGTCGTCATGGGATGCTTCTGGGTGCAGAACCCTGCGCCCCCCTAGAGCGGCTATGTATAGCTCCTTAGGAAAGAGCCCGCGTGTTTCCTTCGTGGAGATGGCAGCGTGTTTGGGTGAGCAGCGGGGTGGCGGGGCTGCTGATGTCACCTTCCTGGCCCAGCAGAAAGGCAAAGCAGAGCTAATATTTCTATTTTGGGCACCAAGGGGCTTGGGGGGGGTTATAAATAGAGCCCAGAGGCCTAAAGGAAGCTATATTATGAATTGTGTTCTATTTCCAGAGCCCAATGTCTAAATATGTCCATTGCACCTGTCGCCAAGCGGGGCAGTGGGGGAAAGAATCTTACAGGCTCTCAAATAAACCCGAATGTTTTCCCTTCTCCTAACGGTGCATGGAAAATGCGTATAAATATATCACCGGGCTGGGGGGGAGTGGAGCAGACGGGGGCCCTGGCAGCCAGCCAGCCCTGGGCGCAATGAGGGAGAGCGGCATCGGAATGAATGAATGAGATTTTCCACTCTGCGGTGGTTAGGCTGAAGCTGTAAACAGCACGTGGGGCCTTCTCCCCCCCCCACCATCTCTGGACCTCCTGCACCCCCAGCCCATCCTCCCCTTGGGGCCTCTGGGGCCCCACTCCCCCTGCTCTGTTCCCCTCTATTGCCTCTTTCCTCTGGGCTATCTGCCCTCCACCCCGAGCTGCTGGACCTACCTCGGGGCTTGGGAGGGCAGTGCCTAGCTGGGCCATGCGGGTCAACACCTCTGCACTTCCCTCCGAGAGGACAAAATCCACCATCCTGGGGGTTCCCTCTTCTTTTTCAGAGGCTGGGTGGGAGACGCTGGGCCTGTGCCAGCCGGCCGAGCAGAGCCTGGGACCAACCCGTGGGAGCCACAGAGCCCACGGACCAAAAAAGTTACCAGAGCCCATTGCTGCAGGAGCCATAGTGCTCGTGCTCGGCACTTTATACCTTCTTCCTCGCCAGCGAGCCCACACTGCCCCTACTTTCCCCAGCTGTAAGCTGGGGAAACTGAGGCACAGCTAGGCCTCAGAAAGGGCACAGCAGCGGGGCTGGGGCTAGGAGCCAGGACTCTCCTCTGCTGCTCCTTCCCCGTCCAGCCCATTTCTAACCCCCCGGACCCCCGTTAGAAAAGCGATGCCTTGCACTGAGGTGTTAGCAGCGTCACGGCTGGGCCGCGTGGAGCCAGGGGGTGGGGTGGTCTCTGTGACGGGGCGCTAGCACGGCAGGGGTTCTCCTTTCTATCACTCCCAAGCCAGGCTGATCGGGCCACCGGCTGATTGCTGGGCTCGCCGCTTGTGGGTGCGAGAGGAGACAGAACCAGCTTGCGGCCTGCAGACAGAAAGCCAGCAGCTCCGAGACGTTTCCTGAGTGAGGTCACCAGGAACATACAGTGTCGCGGGGCCAAGTTCTGCTTTCGACGGCGCTGCACGTGTCTAGGCTGGGCCTCCTCCCAGCGGCAGAGCGGTGACTGTGTCATGGTACGGGAGGGAAGGGGAATGAACCAGGGCTGGGTTGCCCAGTGCAAGGAGGAGTGGCTCGGCCCATGCCTCTCCATGAGCTGGTGCACCCGCAGTCATGCGTGCTCCCTCACGGGGTGTTGCATGACTCATCAGGGCTGGATCTGGCACGTGCACCTTAATCAGGAGCAGAGCCCGTTGTTCTGGGGGCTGGGAGCACTGGTCATTGATAGCCTGGAGCCATTTCTCTGAGTTTTATAGTCGGACAACCTGCCTGGCCCATTTCACCCCCCGACACACCAGTCGCCCGTTCCGCTCAGTGCTGTAACTGGTGGTGGATGTTCAGCACATTTACAGTTTTCTGCAGCTTCTCAAAGCAGATGCCCACTGCCGCCCTCCTTTAGGAGGCAAAGGAATACAAGGAGGGAGTCAATTTACGCATTGTGGCAGGAACAGGCAAACCAGTGGGGCTGCCCAGAAGGAATCCGGCAAGGTGGCCGCTGCACTCACCAGCTTAAACAAGATTTGATCATTAACCAGCTATACTTTTAAGACCAAACTACAAACCTTCCAGTCCAGGGTTTATCTCCACCTTACCCTATGGAGGTGAAAGCTGGAAATCCACCAAAGATCCAGACAAATCTTGGAATGCCTTCAGCGGCAAATGTCTTAGGAAAACACTAGTTATCAAATGGAATGACTTTATAGCAAATGCCAAGATTCATCAGAGTTCAACAGCTCCTTATCTCTAAAGAATCAAGCCAGAGCAGTTGTGCTGGGGGGCATCTGGAGGAATATGCAAAAGGGGCTGGCCAAAAGTATCCAGCTGCCAAACAGTGCTCAGAGGGAGAACTTGTGGGACTTAACACAGAGAACGTGCAAAGAGCGGCCTTGGATAGCCAGGAAAGGCGAGCCCTGTTCGTGCCTCCCGTGACGTCTGACGGGGCGAGAAGGGTTCTGATTCAAACACCCCAGGAATGTTCGGCGTTTGAGAATAGCGGACAGTCCGTGTGCTCCATGAGGAGCAGCCCGTGTTGATCTCTGGGGCTTGGGCACCGGAGGTCCCTTAGCAGAGGAGTGAAACTTTCTTAC